CCTTTTTCGTTATTCAAAGCCACCAGTCCTTAAGTACCAACTGTGTGCTAGGCTCTGTTCTCAGCGTATATTAATCTTCATGTATATTAACTCTAATCTTCACCACAACCTTGTGAATGTAAGTGGTGAAACCGAGAAACAAAGTGATGAAGTCACTGTGCCCAAGATCACATAACTTGTGAGGCCAGAGTCCAGTATGCGCCCACTCTGTTGCTGGGATCTGGGCTGGAGGGGGCGCTGGTGACCCTGGGCCTGGCTTCCAGCTGCCCGAAGGCCCCTCCACGTTAGTCCCGGGGGAACAGCCAGAAGTGCGTGGGAACAGAGCTGAACAGGATGTGGCCTTGGACCCGAGCCTCGCCTTGCCCCTCCCCACCCTGAGTTCCTGCCTGGTTGAGGGCAGGAAAGGGAAGCCTGGCCTGGCTTGAGGCCCAGGTAGGCCGCCTGCCCCAAGCACAAGGATTGGGAACTGGCTCTGTGAGCTCATCCAGTCATTCAATAGACACTCATTGAGTGCCTACTGTATACAGGACATGTAACCATGGGATGACCACATAGGGCTCTCTAGGTGGGGGGACATCTGGAGAGGGTAAAATGAAGCCAAGAGGGGCGTGGGGCAGGGCCAGTCCAGGCAAGACTTTGTTCTTAAGGCCGTGAGAGCCTCAAATTTTAAGTTTTAAGATGCTTCCTTTGAAGGTACATGGTGAGTTTGGGGCAGCAAGCAGAATAAAACAAGGAGGTGGTTATAGGAGCCATTCAGATGAGCGAAGACGGGACTCAGTCCCGGGTAGCAAAGGTAGCAGAGGACACCCCAAAGAGGGGAGACAGGGAGGCCCAGGAGTCGAGAATTTCAGGTTGGGAGGGATTGTTGTCCCAAAAGCCGCCTCCATGTTAGCTGAGCGAGGGCCACGGTTGTGACGGGAGGAGCTCTGTGTGAGTTATCGTGGGGGGGGGGGCGCGGAGAATCTTGGTGTCTCAGTTTCCCCTTTTGCAAAATGGGACAGGCCTTTCCTACAAGCCCTTAAATGGTGGTTCTGTGTGCCCCAATGGGAATTAGATACCACGCACACTGCACCAAGGCTGGGTTGGGCCTCAAGGGAATTGGGTATGTGGATGGCAGAACAGCCTTTGCCAGATCACCCCATTCACCCGCAGGTTCGAGATCGAGATTGAGCCCATCTTTGGCATCTTGGCCCTGTATGATGTGCGGGAGAAAAAGAAGGTAGGAGCCCCTTTCTTCCCCTTCCTCCCCCACTTTCCTCCTTGATGCAGGGCAGTGGGCTTCCTGTAGGTGGTGGCCCAGCTGCCTCTCCTGCCCCCCAGATCTCGGAGAACTTCTACTTTGACCTAAACTCAGACTCCACGAAGGGGCTGCTGCGAGCCCATGGCACTCACCCGGCCATCTCCACCCTGGCCCGCTCTGCCATCTTCTCCGTGACCTACCCCTCACCTGACATCTTCCTGGTCATCAAGGTGCTCACTGGGGCTGGGCAAGGTGGTGGTAACAGTGAATGGTACAGGAGCAGTTCCTGCTCTCATGAAAGAAGACAGACATGTCCCAATAACAATGATCAGGACTGTTGGGGACGTGCAGGCAGTGGGGTGAGCCTGGAGAAGGCTCCTGATCCAACCCAGGTGGGGAGAAATCACTTAGGGCTTCCACAGAGAGGTGACAGCAGAGCCAAGATAAATGAGTGGGCAGCCTGTGGAGATACGGCATCCTGGCACATGGGGACAGATGTTGGAAATGTTTTCTTAAGTAGAGATTTTTTTTTCAGTTTATTAGAGAAGGAAAGACCTAATTAACATATTTATTTGGGATTTTCTAGGAGTGAGCTCAAATTTCCTTGCCCAAAACGTTTATTCAGGTTATACTAATGACATTAGCTGAGCACATATGGGCAGGCACTTGTCACAGTCCGTCAGGCTTCACAGGGATTCCCGCCTTTAGTCCTTACAGCAGCCCTGGGAGATGGGGGTTGCCACAACCCGCATTTTACAGATGGGGAAACGGAGGCAAAGAACAGATAAGGGACCTGCTCAGGGTCCCACAGCCTAGAGTGGTCAGGATTGAAGTCCAGTTCTTGTGGCCCAGAGCTATGCTTGGAGTGGCTTCTGTTTATACTAACAAAGAAAAATGAAGATGTAGGGGAAACATGGAGCTTTGGGTTTGGGGTGGGTTCAAAAGGTGGGGCGGGGGCTGCTGGCCAGGCAAGTCAACTGCTAGCACTCAATCCCCAGGACAGTGGGAGCCAAGGGCCGTGTGGGAGCAAGAGTTCTAGCTGGATGGGTGTCTCATGAGGGACCCAGGAGGTTGGGGATGGGGTGGGGAGGTTGGGGTTCTGGCAGCACCTCACTGGGCCTGCCTGCCCCTCAGCTGGAGAAGGTGCTACAGCAAGGGGACATCAGCGAATGCTGTGAGCCCTACATGGTGATGAAGGAGGTGGACACAGCCAAGGTAAGCAGGTAGAGGCTGGACCCAGTGGTGTAAGGGCAACCCGGTTGGGCAGATCCTAGATTCAGCAGGCCTGGGGCACTGAGCTTGTGGGTGTCGGAGGGTCTCCCCACAGAACAAAGAGAAGCTGGAGAAGCTGCGCCTGGCAGCGGAGCAGTTCTGCACCCGCCTGGGCCGCTACCGCATGCCCTTCGCCTGGACCGCCGTACACTTGGCCAACATCGTGAGCAGCGCAGGGCAGCCAGATCGGGACTCGGACTCTGAGGGCGGTGAGGAGGCTAGGCTGACGGGTCGGGCTGTGGCTACTGGGGAGGAAAGGGGCGCCCTCTGCTGGCCGAATTCGGTACCAGGCTGCCTCTCGAAGTCTCTCTCTGTACCTTCCATCCTCTCATCAACGTCCCCCTCTATCCATCACTGTCACTACCTCCTCTAGAGCGTAGACCCGCCTGGACCGACCGCCGCCGTCGTGGGCCCCCGGATCGGACAAGTAGTGGGGACGACGCCTGCAGTCTCTCTGGCTTCCGCCCAGCCACACTAACTGTCACCAACTTCTTTAAGCAGGTGTTGTGGCCACAGGGCAGGGGCTGGGGAATGGGCCTTGAGGGACACATCCCAGTCTTCCCCTGTGGCCGCACAGGCCCCGGGGACCCAGCTCACAAGGGCTGGTCCCGTGCAGGAAGCAGAGCGGCTCAGTGACGAGGACCTCTTCAAGTTCCTCGCTGACATGCGGCGCCCGTCGTCTTTGCTACGGCGTCTAAGGCCTGTGACGGGTGCGTGGCCCACCCCGTAGACATGAGGTGTCACACAGTCACTCTCAACAAACAGACTGATCACCTGCCTGTGTCTCTAGCCCTGGGGCCCCAACAGTGACCATGATAGACAAATCCCTGATTTCAGGGGCTAAACTTTCTGGTATTAATTCCACAAATTAGAAACAGAATAAATAAGAAAGACAGTGGGACAAATGAAGGATGTGGTGGCATGGGCCCTGAGGGCAGAGCTGATCAAACATGCGGCAAGAGATGAGTTGAGGGCGACTTATGGCCTTAGCACCTGAAGAACAGACACCAGAGGGCATTGTGGGAGAGCCAGACCCCTGACCCTGAAGCCCAGGGATGGTGGGGCCTGGCCCAGAGTTTCCCAGTCAAGTACAAACCAGCTACCTCTCCCCAGCCCAGCTGAAGATCGACATCTCCCCGGCCCCCGAGAACCCCCACTTCTGCTTGTCCCCGGAACTGCTTCATGTCAAGCCTTACCCAGACCCCAGGGGCCGGCCCACCAAGGAGATCCTGGAGTTCCCTGCCCGTGAGGTCTACGCACCCCACACCAGCTACAGGTACAGCCTCCAGGGCCCAGCGGGGAACTTGAGTGGGGGATGTTCAGGCATCATGCAAAAAGAGCTTCCGTTTCTCTCAGACACACACCCAGGGTAAGATGCCACTGCTTGCTTTAATGGGGGGTGTATAGGCATGGAGAGGCACATGTCCTTCCTTCCCCGCTCCTCAACGGGGCCATGTCCTCTGCCTGTGTCCCCGTCTGCTTCTGTCTCTGCTTCATGGCCGGAAGCGGGGCCCCGTGGCCTGGCCAACCCTAGCGG